AGGGGGAAGTGTGTGGGGCTATGGTGATGGCACACAGGTGATTTGGTAATGGGAAGTTCACAGGGATTACAACTGAGATGGAAAAAGGCACAAAATGATGTAAAAATAAACTTATTATGATAATAAAATGGAGTATACTATGCAAGGGGAGAAATAGTAATTCTTTGAATTAGAGTAACTTGAAATCACACCCACACAGCAAGTTATAAAGTGGTGAGGTTGATTTGAGATTGTTGATATTAGTTTCCTCATTTAACAAGTTAAGAGATTAAGATTGGGGCAATTAATGTACAGGTAATAATAGTAAAACACTGAATGGTCAAGTTCCTCTTGTACATTTTTTTTAAAAGATTTATTTATTCATACAGAACTGGGGTACAGGCCAGAGATGGGGAGGGTGAGAGGACAGACTGGGGAGCAGAACAGGCAGATCAACGAAGTACACTGCTGAGGGGAGCAGCGGGCGGGTCAGGAGAGATCTGCCGCACCGTGTGGATCACCTCTTGTACATTTTTTTTTTAAAGATTTATTTATTTGTTCATACAGAACTGGGGTACAGGCCAGAGGCTCAGGGGTGGCAAGAGGCTTCACCAGAGACAGAGTGGGGAGCAGAACAGGCAGATCTACGAAGTACACTGCTGAGGGGAGCAGCAGGCGGGTCAGAAGAGGTCTGCCACGCCATGTGGTCACCTCCGGGGCAGGCGGGAGTCGAACTCACGAGGAAGTGGCTTTAGCTTCTCAGTGCTGTGCATTTACCCGCTGTGCCACCAGGGAGGGCCCCCTCTTGTACATTTTAAGAGAAACTTTTGAAATGATAGATTAAAGAATTCTAGGAAGTTTCAAATTGGAGAAAGGACTCTAGGAAGTTTCAAATTGGAAGTTTCAAATAAAAAGGAAGAGGCTTGAAGACAGTATTTCTACATATTAACTAGTTGTCTAGTTTTCATACTACTGTAATATTTATGAATAATTGAAGATTACCAAATTTTGAAGCAATTGAATAATTGAAACATCACAGTGAATAGTTGGGAAACTGGTGAAGCCCACTGGTTTTGAATCTCAGTGTATTTTAAATTGGGCAAATAATATTACTGTCATTTATGCAAAAGGCTACTTTGTTTTGACGCATGGATATATGTTTAGAAAAAGGGCACTGGTCTTTTAACCTAACACTTGTTGCTGCCAGGCAGATTGGTACCTAATTTCTAAAAGGGTTTAATACATCAAAATATGGGGTTAGTGTATTTCAGGTTGCTGTGAAGACCACATTCTCTTAAAATATAGTTTGAGGGAGGTGGATTAATTTATGACTAATTTACTGTAGAAATAAAAATCATGGTGCTGAGAAGGGGTTAAGTCAATATTGAAGCCTTGTTTGTAAAATAACACACTGAAAGAAGATTTAATTAATGAGCATCCATGGACCAATGTGTACTATTGTGTTGGATAGTCTTTCACTTTATCAAAACTTCCTGCTTTATTACATAATTACTTTTATGCTTAGTAACTGTTAGTTGAGGCCTATTGTTTTAACCGTAAAACAAAAGCTATTTTAATAAACTAGAAATAGAAAACAGAGGCGTCAGAACACAACTGCTCAGTGCTGCTTTACCATTATTTTCTCGCATTATTGAGCAAGTTTGGCTTTTTGCTTCTTTGACTGCTGCATTACATTTTGCCTTGAAGCCATCCATTTTGCAGATATTGAATTTCTTTTGAGTAGTATTTTTATAGAATAAGCATCACTACACCTCTGGATCTTGATAGCATTACTACGGGAGGAGAACGAAGCTTTGTGTTAGTAATTACCTAACATTGTCAGAAGCTGACTGCAGGCCTCTTTCTAGTGATAACAGAATAACCACATAATGTAGCTTTATAGCACATGATTAATAGAAAATAATTACACGTCCTACAAAGGGATGCAATATTTCTTATAAATTGACTAGAATGGTTTCCTGTAGATTAAAGGACTCTTCATTATTTTATCAGTCCTTCTGAAGTACAGTCACTTGCCTATGTTAGCATTTCAGTTGATGTTAAGAGCTGAGTTGGGTGAAGGATACCAGATGGCAGACCTTCTTGTACCTGAGCTCTCGCACGACAGGAAGATGACAGGCCACTTCCTAACCTTTCAGAGATTTAGATGGCAACCTGGCATGGCTCTGTCCCTTTATTTTGTGTTTATTAACAAGATATGGTTTGAGGGCTGTTTGTCTCTGAACGACCCACCTGCGACTTTCAGAACAATGCTGTAATTAGTGTGTGGACCGCAAGGCAACGTTGTTTGAATTGCATTATTTTCCACTGTAAGTAATGTATCATTCATAATCATATTTGTTTGTGGGCAGCCAAGAGGGAAGGGAGAGAAGGGAAGATTTTTTTTTTCTCCAGAAGAAACACCCTGTATGATATGGAGTCTTCAAGTTGAAGTTTAGAATACTGCACTTCAAGAAGCATCTTCATTCCAATTTATAGGCTGCAAATGGTTTAATTGGGATTCATGTTGCTCAGGAGGCTCATACAGAGGATGGTAATGATAAAAGTAAAAGCTTCTGTGTTTGCAGTCTTGTCGACACACTCTAATGGCTGCAGTGTAAATCCATAAATTTGCCTACTAGATTTTTGCCTCACTGTATTTTATCATACTTCTTAATTCCACACAGGAGTATCATATTGAATCCTTTACAGATGTAAAGTAATAAGCATTCTGGTGTTTACTTTTACTCTTTCTTTGATTTAAACCTATAATATTTTAGAGTATTCTTATGATGTGTGTATTTCATATGTTTTCACTTATTTTCAACTAGTAATGGAAACATTTAAGAGTATTTTAGCCTGAATCTTAAATTTTTCCTAGAATGTTACTTTTCAGGGATATGTCTCCAGCTGAGTAACTTTTTCCCTCCATGTGCCACCCAACTTTCTGTTTAGTGCCTCTTAACCAGTTACCATCGTGGAGAATTCTCTCAAGTGTGAAGTGTATCATCAGTTCTTTGTTGAAGTGATTTGTTGGAAATCAGTTTCTGAAGTGTGAATATGAGTGAGCTTTTTGAAAACAATGAGCCCTTAATTGCAAGTACAGATTAAACATTATAAAGTAATATGAACTTTTTGGAAATTTGGATCTAAGGCTGAAAATAGTCTGAGGACTGTTGTCTGAAGCAGGTTCACCCTGTTAATACCCTTTTTGAAATCTTACAGTGTAGGCCTTCAGCTTCTGAAAGGTTAAATACATTTGTTTGGTTAAGCATTAGGCTCTAATTGTATTCATTGCCTTAAAAATTGAAAAGGGCAGTTTTATTAGGTACCTATTAGGATATAATGGTTGCTAATCATAGCTTTCAGTAAGTTGGTATTTTCTCCTGCTAAATATATCCTAGCAGGTTATAGACATCCCCACCGAGTTCTGAGCATCAGACTGTTTTCATTGTTGTAGTTTTTCCCACTCAGTTCACATTATCACTGAACTTTTAAACTTAAAATCTTGAATCCACTGCCTCTTGAGCCAGGGCAGTGCTCTCATTAAAATAAAGAGTGTAGCCATGAGCCTTTTCTTTCCTTTTCCTTATGCCTTCTTCTTCCAGTAAACCTAATTCTGATACATCCCACTCTTAAAAAGAGCATTTAGAAACTTTAATCTTATAATCTCTCAACTGAGAGCCTACATATCAATACACATATGCTAATAGTGCTACATTTGTGTTGAAGAATCGTATGTGTTTCCTTTCTGGTGGTCAATAACATAGTAATCAATACAAATGTTAAAAGTCTGTACTAGTATTAACATTCCCTCCCCACATGTAACTCAATATGCATATGCACATTTATCTATGACTCAGATGTTGGAAAATCATAGCCTATTGAATTACTTTGGGGACTGATTTTAAAAATTTATCTTATATGAAAAATTAAATTTGGAACCTACAATGCTTTTGCAGAGTATTGCTTTTGGAAGATATTTTTCTTGAAACTTGTAATTCATTTTACTTTGTTTGTATCTCACTAAACATAAATAAATTTGAGATAAAAATACATTAGTCAATCTGGCAGACATATGAGATCGGTTACAGAGAGTTCAGATGCCTAAAGCAGCGGCATATCTATCAGTGAAGGCAAAGGGGAGAAAAGGAGGTTCAGGTTTATCTCACGTAGAGAAGTAATGCAGAAGTGACTCATCAATCACTGTTTTTTTTTAACAGCTAGATTAATATTTTGCCTTTATAACTTGAGATACTTTTATTTCCTATTGATCTTCCACTGCAAGGGTAAATCTAACAGCACCTTTAAGTTCCTTCTACCCATCCTTTAATGTATTTGTGATCAATAAAAGGAATAATAAAATGCCTTAAGAGAAATATTTTAAAAAGCTCTTTTGTGAATTATTTTGTAAAGCAAATTTTTGTATATTAATGTTTCCTCCATCTCTGATTTATGTTTTAAATGCCCATGCTCATATATTAGATGTTCTTAAAAGGGGGCATACATCTACATTCTAAATCATTCTGTCATAAGCGTTTAACTAGGAATTAAATAGTTCATTGTGAGGAAAAGAAATGTTGTCCTTGCTAGATGATAAGCTTCTTGAAGGCAAAGACAGTCTTCCAAGGATCCTACCTGTACCCTTGTAATCTAGGGCTAGTGTTTGCATATAAAAGGTGTTTCCTGGTGTGTGTGTGTGTGTGTGTGTGTGTGTGTGTGTGTGTGAGGGGGGGGGGGGGAAGTGGCCTTGTGTAGTTACATTTACTAGGTTCTTCCAAGTGAATATTTCTTCTTTCTACCACTGAGCAATAAACAGGCTTTTGTCTTATACCTTAATTTAAGTCTTCACTCACAGCATTTTTAAAGTGTCTGGAAACAAAAAAGATTATAATGCTTCAATTTGCAGCTCAAGCTCTTGTAACTTTATAAAAAGAAATAACATTTCTAAGAAGTTGCATATAAATGACAGTGTACTTACAGCAGTCTAAAGGTTAATATGGCATATTGTTTTCAATTAGGAATACAATAGATATGGCTGGTGGGTAGGAGAAATGAAGGGAGCCATTGGCTTGGTGCCGAAAGCCTACGTGATGGAGATGTATGATATTTGAGAGTCCTGGGTAAGTACATTTTAATCCAATATTCTGTAATAGCTCATATGTTCTCTTGGTCTTTGCATTATAAGTCTTTGCCTTTTTAAAAGACTTTGTAGTTTTCTGATAAGAAAAAAAAATATGCTCTCAAATCATCTTTTTTAAAAAAAATCTGGTTTCATTTTTAAAATAACTTCATAGAATTTACTTTGGAAATAGATTATTTAGAGAAAATCCCTTTGATAATAACCAGCTGTTTTCCCAAACCTCCTCCTCTTTAGTAAAATACTACTTTTATGGCCTTTCTGAGGACTGAGTTAATAGAACGTTGAGTAAACATTCATTTTCCTTGGCTAAAAATGTGATATTTTTTTCTAAGCAGGAAAAAGTCAACATTTCAACTGAAGAAAAAATTAAAATGTCACTTTTCCTTTCTGCCTGCAGAAAAGGAAGACTCTTCTGCTGGCCTGCAAATGCTTTGGATTTAGAATCATCGTGAACACACGAGCAACAGCTTATCTTTCTTTGTTTTGTTGAATATTGTTCATCTTCACCATTATTTTATGCTTTCATTATAATAAATCTCTTATGTGAAATTAAATGAAGGATATGAATGTAAATTAGATGCAAGCAGCAAAGTTATACCTGTTGCTATTTTGAGAAGAAATAATTGCATTTTTTATGTACTCGTTCGGTTTGTGTAAAGAAGTCAGCCCTGTTTTATAGGTACTGCACAGTCTGCTACTTCCAGTAGACGTTGTAATTTCTTTTTAATATTGGACATCAATTTATTTTAAGAATGTAATATATAATTTCATAGAAATTTTAATTGAATAAATCATAAAATGTTTTGGTAGATGTTACCTAAAAGACATAGCTTTATTAAAACTTTGTAGATGATCTATTATATTTTTCATATAATAATCACATGTCTTCATGGAGGAATGCTGCTGATTAACGAATTTGTTTTATGCTATACAGAGCCACAAGAAAGAAAAAAACAGAAACTACATCTCCTCTTTCCTATGCTGTGGCTCTGCGTGACATAGCAGCATGTGTGCAGACCAGACACGGTTTGTGCAAAGCTCTTATCAATAACATATCTGACGATGGCTTGCCAGCATGTTCTACTGTAGTTTTGTTTGAATTTAATAAAATTAGAAACTCATAAGAAATTCCATCTGCCGCCACGCTAATGGCATAGAGAATCTCAGTATGTTCTCAGACTAAGCCAGCACTCTCTAGTCCCGCCTGTCCTTTGCTGGCTCTGCCTGTCTCACCCCAGCAGAGTAAAACTCCAGCGCTGAGTCCCTACACTTCTCCGGGCAGTGAAAGACAGAGACAGCTCAGACGAGAGAGAGTGGAAATCCCAGTGGGACATGGACAAGAGGTGAGAGGGAGGTAGATTAACTTGACATTGTAGCAAGATTTGCAGAATTTTACCATTATCTTTTCATGTATATTTGAAGTGAAAGGTATTTTAAATGCCTGCGAGGTACCAATGTAGCCTTAATATATATCAAGTGCACTGCTGATTGGATAATTATTTGGAGTAGATTTAATCTCTTGATATTGAATCATTGGCTAGGAGCTGCTACCTTTGTTGAATTTTCTGATCTCTGCTTTATAAAGGTAAAGGCTCTTGCTGTGCAGATAAGCTAATCATGTTACTTATATAAAACTTTTGCAAGAGACATTTCAGAGCGTGTGTTTTCCCATTAGCCCTCGGTGCTATGGCCACCTGATTTCGGGCGCAAAAGAATGTTAACTTCAGTGACGGTGGATAAACTTCAATGTAGATAAATTAATTTCTGACAGCGTAAAGCTGTCAGAAAATGGTTTGCATGCTCGTTACTCTTTTCCTAAGGTTGAGTCATTGGAGTAGTTTTGATGTCATTCTGACAAGAGTGAGACAACCAGAGAGGGATTTAACAGACTGGTTTTCAAAGCCTGACAAGTTGGAAAGCAAAAGCAGTTGTGGTTTCCACTGAAAATGTAGACTTGGCTGCTGGTGGATGCAGGTTTCCTGCTTCTGATTTAAGTGAAGATTCTAGGCCTGGGCCAGTAGATGGCAGCAGCTTTTCATTGCTTATCCAACCACTTGAGCCTCCCCTCCCCCACTCAGGCACAAACTCCCAGGGAATGTAAAACATTCAGAAGATTTCTGCCTACTTTTACAGTTAATCCAGGAGAGGGAGTCCTTTGCCAACTGATGACCAACACTTCCAAGCCAGATAGTCTCTCTGTGAATGGTGGCAATACAGAAATAAAGTGTTACTTTTGCCCAGAGCTCTTCTGGTCTTTGTTCTTTTTAAACTTGAATCTAAGTGGGATTTATGAGAGGAAAGATATAAAAATTGGCGTGACAAGGAAAAAATAATTTCTTTCAATATGTAACGATTCTACATATTTCATTCATTTGGAAAAATCGTTTTGTATACTTCCAGGGAGAAAGTTTTCTTTATACCCTTGACAATATCTCATGCACTCTTCAAGTTCATAATAATATCATTAATGTGAATTTAAACAACATGCCTTGTTAGAAAATATGCTAATTGTTACATTCTCATTATGTTTGCTTAGCTTTTATTTGTTTTTCTATGAACAGTTAGAGAGCTAATTTTTTTCAAAGGTGATTGTAAGTCATATTTTATATAGCATTTTGCTTGATTATTTGCTCTGTACTGAATTTGTACTCTATTGCCATTAGATCTTACAATAATGTTCCACTCTGCAAATTTTTAAGGTTCAAATAAAGTTTAATTGTTTGCAAACTGTTATGATGCTAATAATTCAACAGCCTGCTGTGTTACTAATGAAATTACTTTGTTATGATTAATTTGGAAAATAGTGTGTTGATTGTAGTAATTAAGCACAACAAGGTGAAGTAAATGATTCTAATGCCATCTGGCCTCCAAACTGAATGAAGAAATGAAATAGGGCTGTCATCTGAATTTATTCAAAGAAGTAAGGATAATACAAATGACTTTCCTTGCTATAGGGTTTACACTTAACCACAGCTCACTCCTTCTGCTTTTGCCACTTTGTTGCACATCACACTTTCTTTGTGTCACATTAAAGAATGCTGGGTAGCCTGAAAACTCATTTTGAATACTTTATTTTATTTTAAGTTGATTATTTTTACCTTGTGTTAATTTAATTACAGATAATTACTTAAAGTACTATAGGATCATAGCAAATCACTTTTCAACCATCTGTAGGTAAAGTCTATGTCTGTGAAGGCAGCATGTTGAATGCAGCCTTTTATTAAAAAAAAAAAAAAAAAAAAAACTTCCATTCAGTTGTTTCTAAAATGGAAAATGGGATTTATC